CCCCCCCCCCCCCCCCCCCAATCTTTGTGGGGCAGAGAAAGCAGTGACGCTCATTACAACATTGATGTAATGGAAAAGCTAAATTACTCACATGGTAAGTGGCTAGAAGCTTGACTTGCGCGGATCTCAAATCTTATTTTATGCTACCATTATCACATTTTATGTCTGTCACCAGCTAATTACCAACACAGTGCTTTGAAGATTTGGGAGAGCAGACCCTTATTACTTTGTTTTTCGAGACTAATCATTCCTTCACGCACTTGATTAAACTATCTCATATTAACATAAAAATTCATGGGTCAATATCTCCACCACATCAAATGTACATTTTGTCAGAGTATGTAATTTTAGTTTTCAGTTAGTGTTTCTATTATTACTGTGTTTAGTTTCGATTTATAGTAAATAGTTAGATATAGCTATTCTGTTACAAGTCTTATAAATATATATATAACACATTTAAACTCAATTTATATGAAGAGGAGGAAATTGACCATGACCCAAATAGAAGGCTGACTAGCCACAATAAAAGTGTGAACCATGGGTGAAAGGCATGCAACAAGGATAAAAGAAACTTTAACTACACGCATGAGGTGGGGTTCAATCGGTAAAATAAATTATTATAAACATGTGGGTTTCAAATAGTAAAGTGAATTATTATATTAAGGGGGAAAAATGCTGTGCATCTAAACTCAACTGTTTGTTGGTGAAAGTTCAAGTTGTTCAACATAGCAGAAATATCATTTCCAGCATTACAAGCTTACCAACTGGGTTACTTGTGGTTTATTGGTGTCCAAGTGTGAGTGAGAGATCATAAATCTAATGTCTTAAAGTTTTTGGCTAAGTTATAATGTGAACTTTACTTATGTAGTCTATTTATAACTTTGGTTGATGCAGTTCTGTCCGGTATTTAACCTTCTAATACCTTCTCATATTTCTAACATGCTTCAAAGGTATGTATGAATAACCATATAGATGACATGCTTCAAAGGTATGTATGAAATATGAGATGAAATGAACAGCGGAATAAAGAGTGAAGCATCGAGAGTTAAAAAATGAAACAAAATGTATAAGAAAAAAATGCCAACAGGAGGCAAAATTTGACAAGTAAATAAAAATTGAGATCAATTTACATATCTACTTATATTTTTCTCAAAGTGAAGGAGTACATTTCCACATCCTGACTTCAACATAAGTCTATTGCATGTATATACAGTAGAAACTCTTTAAATTAATACTCGATAAATTAATAAACTCTCTAAAATAATAAATTTGTCAGGTCCCGACTTGGGCCAATGTAAAAAATTGAAAAACTCGATAAAATAATAAGATAATTTTTCGGGAGATCCCTTTATAATTTTCGGTCCCAAGAAAATCATAAATTAATAATTCATAGAAACTGAAAAAAATATATTACACTCTAACACATTCATGTAATTTATATATGCCAAACTTGCTTAAGAATACATTGAACACATTTGTTCCTCTTGTTTACATTTACTGTACTTCAGTCATTATTGATTTTCAATACTTATGTACTTCAAAAGTCATTACGTATTGATTTTTAATGCATATGTACTTCAAAAGTTATTAATTTATGTTGAGTCCCAAGGTTCGCTGCAACGTAATTCTAAGAGACACAGACTAATTTGCCTTTTTATTTGGTATGTATAGTATAATTACTTAAAAACTCTTTAAATTAATAATTATTAATTTATCGATAAATTAATAACTCTAAATTAATAAATTTCTCCGGTCTTGACTTTATTAATTTAAAGAGTTTCTATTGTATATAGGTATGGATCATATGGTGCGTGTACATAAAAGTTTTAAAACAATTAGCTACAAGTTTAATTATATTTTTACTTTTTTATTTAGATAATGGAGATATGAAATAATTAAGAAAAAATAGTTGATACTTGATAAAAAAATATCTAAAAGATTTTATAAGATTCGAGTTTGAAGAGGAAAATTTGAAGATTTTTTAGGTGAAATTCAGTATTTTGTTTCGTGAGTATTGAGTAGAAGACAAAACTAAGTATGCTCAATTTTAAAGGTGGATGAACTAAATTGGCTAAAAAAATACTTAGAAAATGAAAGTTAAGTGATATAAATCAGGATTAGCAAGGCAAGGTGTCTTAAAGTTGACATTCACAAAAGAATTTCCAGTTTGGCGATATGAAACCTTATTTAGGACCCCTTACAAATATCAAATTAAAACAATCAACATACTTTTTATTCAAATTTCACCAGGATATTTTTTTTAATAATAAATTTTAAGATTCAAAATTAATAATAATAATAATATGATAATCATAGCAAATCAATATATATACCAACTATGATAGGAAAAATAAATTTATAAAATACAAGAAATGTAAATATATGGTTATATTTTCCTTAATATATATTACCATATTTGTGTCCAATTTCTTTTTATATAACATTAGCATATTCATGCATCGTATTGTACTAAATGCCGATACCTTTATTCATATAACATTAATTCAAATCCTTACATGAAAGTAATGCCAAGAAAATGATACAATCTGAAATGTTATCAAAATTTTTGAAAAATTCCACCATAGAGTAAGAGTATTCATAAATCATATTTTTTTAAAAACTAAATCAAATCAAATTAATCTATTTTATACAAGTAAATCAATTAATCAAGCCATTTTTTATGACATGGATTGGTTTGAGTTTTTAGAAATATAAATTAATTTTTTTAAAATTGAATCAATTCGATACAGTGAGATTATCCATTTTATACTTATATATAGATCAAATTTTTTTAAAAATCAAACCAATCTATTTAATAAAAATAAATTGGATAACCGAACCAATTTTTCAAAGTGAATCAATTTAGAATTTTTCTCAACATATCAGATTTTTTTTATATAGATTAGATAGGTTATGGATCGATTTGAATTGGAATATTTTGCAGTCTTCTAAGAATAAGTGTATTTATTCTGCTGATTAAGTGGCTTTTAACTGAGAATTCTGATCCCAGAATAAAAAAGTTATAACAGTCTGTTACAAGAACTGAAACACATCCCTTCATTCCTATCGATTCAATCACTATTTTGTTTTCAAACCCCAACCTTTTCAACCTTAGGTTAGGAACTGCCAATTGACAAACTATTGCAATCAAGTCCGGCATCTCTATATCAGACCCAAATAAGAAATTTTTGTAAACAGACATGAGTAGAACACCATAAAACTGGGGCTGCAAAACAAGCATCAAAATCAGTATATAAAGTTACAAACAGTGTGGCTCTGCATAAGTAGACCATAGACAGCAGTAAATAGTTGTGCAGGGCAAGGATTTAAATTAGAAATCAAAGGAGACATTAATTATTGATTTATTATAAATTATTTAGAAAAAAAAAGGGGAAAGATTGGACCTAGATATTGAGCAGAAGAGTCAACGTTCCATGTTTTCCTTTTCCTGTACTCCGTCTTATAGAAAATCGAAGAATAAAGATGGCAGAACATGTTTCAGTATGTAATAAACAGTAGAGCTCTATTTAGTAGACATAAATTCCCACTTGTTCTATCAACTAAATGATAATGACATAAGCTTGTATATAGGACAGAAGATTGACTAACCTGAATATTGAAGAATGAAAATATAACTGCACTCGAACAGAGGAACAAGAGATTTGCAACATCCAACAGGTTAAGATGAGAAAATAAGTTAAGGTTTGTGGTCAGAATCAGCTCCTCAAAAATTGAAATTAAATTATAAATTAATAAATAATTATGATCGTTTAACTCTCTTGTGTCTTTGCATCACACATATCTGAAATAGATCTCGTTCTGTATGCCCCTAAAACATATTTGACATCTGTGCATGTTTTGTGGATGCTCGTGTGTGTATCCTATCCATCTTTATTGGAATTGAGCTGTGATTGCCGGATTACATAAACAACATTTTAGCACATCAGTTTACATAAGCAATCAACAGTCCGAGGCATAGAATCCATTTACAAAGAAAATCATAAATTAAAATTAACCAGCCTACCTAGTAATGTACAACTAAACCTCAGCTTTTGATAAGTTATGCCAAACAAATAATGAACTAAATGTTTTTGTTTGGTATAAAAATAAGTAATCGAGTCTAAACTTCAGTAAATTTTGATCATTGCATGTTAAAATGTGAAAAAGACATGGAATCCAATTGAAACCCCATGAAATTTATTATTAGCAAGAACTTCTCAATTCTCATTCAGAATCGGATACTAAATATCCTTAAGAAATCGCCTTTGCCTGCTAGTGTACAATATGTGAGATATCACCAAAGAACAACCATATGGACAATGGCAATCTTCTGTCTCTCTTCCTTGCCAATGTTTGCGGAATTGCTCTTAGGCATTTAGGAATAAATGTGCTGAAGCATACAACAAATGACAAATCCAAAAATGCCTGAAATGAAGGGTCATACAGCACATGATGACAAGCACACAGAATAAAGAAATTGCCACAACAACATCAGCCCTGCAAGAAGTTAAGGAAATTGTCAAGCATAATGGCATCAATAGTGTCCTAACATCTTCAATGCACTTTACACATTAATAAATCTGACAGAAAATGATCCCACAACCCTACATTAATCATACCTAGGATTGGATATCCAAGATTGTATTTTAAGCAGAGATCTAATTATTAACATTTCTATATATTCCTTTTATTTTTTTATATAATACTAATTAATACTAAACAGTGTACTTCAATAGAGATGGAATACAAAAAAGTTTAAAACATCAATACCAGCATATGCACTGTTGTTTACAATCTACTCAATAAAATTATCATGCTATGGAGTTGAAGAAACAATATCATTTTTTAAATGCATAATAATCCAAAAATGGGCAAAATAACGTAGGACAAGCCTATGAACCAAAACTCAAGATGTAAACCCATCTACTGTATTACACCTTTAGAAATTTTCAGTAACTCATTAGCAGAAAAGCAACCATTTCAAATGTTAGATTAAAAAGGGGGAAAAAACTGAAAGGAGTTTTCAAATGCTGTAATCTCCGTAGAAAACCAAAGCCTACTTTCCCCTATAATTAAAAACCTACAGACTACATAGACCCTTATTTATGATCATCTTTTTGACACAATAAAACAAACAAAAGCTCCCCAAATGGGAACAAAAACATCGTTAGGTGGAAAATAACCTAGGAGAAAACAAGGTATCGGCACAAGAAACAAATAACTAGAAGCGAACTCTTAACTAAAAACAAGCAGAACAAAATGCATAAATTATTTCGTGCCCAAATTTCAAAAGTCAGCAACTTGAAACACCTCATGTCCTCTGAACATAAAAGCTTGGAGTCAAATAGGTGAAACAATAAAGAGAAGAAAAGGAAGGAAAAGATTAAATACTTCAAGTTGTCTGAGCAAAGCAGCACATGTAATGATAGCTGACTATTGGTGGTAGGACTCCAAATCACCAGCATTATTCAGAAAACATTATTTTCAGTCATGCAAGTAATTCTAATCTGAAGATAACCCATCATATTATTGTTACACCTTCAAATGCCACGACAGGTTATGCACAAATGAACCATGAAATTCCCCAAAGCAGATGACAACAAGGGAAGAAGGGTAGAAGAACTTGCAAAATCCAAAGACAAAAGAAAACAAAAAACTGCCCATATTTCAGGTCACAGGAAGACCACAAGACCAAGTGATATTCGGTGCCTCTATATAATTATACCAGCTAAGCTTCGCTACATCTAAAGCTCAAACCAACTCTCCTACTTGCTCGTCAAATTCCTTAAGCAATGAAGAAAATTCAGAGATATGAAGTGTTTATATTTCGATGGTAGTTCAAGACAACTCAATTCCTAGTGTAAAGTAAAATCTTGAAAGCCAGCATGCAAGAATATACATTTCAATTGATCCCTATATTTTTTATATTGTAAATCTGGAAAGACATAATTCAACATTTCAACATATACATAAGGATTAAGGTGCACCTTTAGTTCATTAGAAACTGTATTGAGTTTCCTGATTCATAACCTCTTTCCTTAATTGGGATGTGTGAAGAGCTGAATAAAGAAATTCATTCATCTTGATCATCAGTGTTATTTAATCTCTTATGAGAATCAATTTGTATTGCTTGTCCTACACTGTACACAATGCGTTCTGCAGTTATCAATTTATCTAAACGGTATCCATTTGACTTCATCCTTTGAACAAGATCAATAGCATACTTCTTTTTATCTCGGGAAAGAG